ACCTGAGCAGGCGGCCCATCTCGTCGCGAAGGGCGTTGTGTCGCTTGATGGGACGGCAGGTCAGCAGGTGCTCGCGGGTTAGTCGCGGCTGAGGTGTCTTGCTGCTGCAGAGAGGGCACTTGTCCGTCGGCTTGACGTTGATGAGTTCATGGAGGCCAAAACCCATCATGGACACGACCGCAATGGCAAAGGTCGTGTCGCTCAAGCGACGCAACTTGTCCCGACCCCGCATGGTCAAGACAGTGCTGACGCCCCACTCGCGTGAGGCCAGATATGCCTGCTGCAGGTCCAGCGCGCACTTGGCCATCAGGTCGTCCAGTGCCGCCTTGGAGCGGAGGGCAATGATCTCAGCTGGTCGCTGAGTCCCCGCGTCCTTGACCGTGGCCATCTGGAAGCCAGCTCGCTGCACGTGGGCCTCAAAGTCAGCAGCCCTCGATTCATCCTCCAAAAGTCGATCGTAGACCCGAGGGTAGTGAGTGGCCAGCTTGGCCATGTTGCAGACATAAGCCACCGGACCGCGCTCAACCAAGTCGTGCAGGCCAAAGCCCCCGGTGTTGGCCCGTGTGAAGAGGCGAGCCTCAAGGAGCTGTTAATAATAAATTAGGTGTTTGAACCTCAGAGCTGAAAGCAAAGCTGTGCAACCCCGACATCAAAATCACGACGGCACGCAAAACAACACAAGAGAACATGACATTTTCATCGGCTTCTATCATGCCGAAAAGTACAAGCGCAAAGAATCACGCACAAGGAAACAAAAATCATGAAAAACGACCAAGTATAACCAGAGATACGGCCATTTGAACCACTAGACACATAAAAAGGCAGTCACACATCACAACTACAAGCCATCACAGCACAAACATAAAAAACACCACGGCACGCTCACATACAACAAGAGACAGCGTCGGGTTGAAAAGGCAACCGACCACAGAAAGAAAAGTCATCATACAAAGGACTTTACAAAAATTCAGCAAAAATACCACACAAATACAGTCAAAATCAAAGTAAAATTAAAACAAAAATACAAGTCAAGCCATCAAAAGATCACAACGAGAACCACCTAGGGAGCAACAGGTGCACACAGGGATCCCCACAGAGGGACCCCCGAGACGGTGCCTACCTACGACGAGCGCAGGCAGACACCGCCAAAGTGGCGCTGGATGTGGTCAGCGTTCATCTGATGGACCAGCGCCGCAAAGCGACCTTTCCACCGAGGAACAAAGGCCTCATCCAGCCCCGGCTGGTACACACCACGGGCCTCGGCGCAGCGGGCGAGCTGACCAAGCAGATCCACAAAGGAGGAGGCGAACCCACCGGTTGTCGTCATCGCCGCAGGGACGATCAGAGTTTTTCCATGGTTGAAACCGGTGTAGTAGTCGCGCTTCTCCTTTTCGGC